TCCTCCTCCTCACAGTTACCTAGTTTGGTAATAAAACATTTGCAAGAAAACAAGTCCAGAGAGCACCCAGGACCCCCTAAGCCATCATTGTCCTCCTCGTCCCCTCCCCAACCTCCCTCCCCACCTCCTCCTCTTCCCTGAAAACTCCCCTCCTTTCTACTACAGATGGTATTACCTCGTTTGGGTAATGAAACTTCCACAAGAAAACCACCAAGCTCAGAGAGCAATGAGGAGACCCCCTCGTTCCCACCCTCAGCTACATCTATTCTCCTTTATGGAAACCAAAAGTGACGAGAATTATTGATTCTGATAAAGGCGTGAGAATTCCTTGGCACTCTGCCAGTATCCCAAAGGTAGACTGTTGCGTGTTTTACAACGTGCAGCAGGGGGCAGTGCAGGACTTCCTTTTGTACATTCGGGTAAAAGTTGAACCGTTGGTCTAACAGAAGCCTAACACCAACCCTTTGCTTTGAAATACCCGGTAGATAGAGGTTCAGAGTCCCTAAGATTCACGCTATTGTTTTCACTCTGTTTGGCACCCTCAACCCACTGACACCTTCTTCTTTCTTTTTCCGTGGCACGGACAGCCTTGCAACCGCTGAAAAACATGGATGTCAAAGAAGGTAAGGGCGGTTGCGCTTTGCAGCAAATATAGACGCAGCGTCGTAGCTTTCGGTCCTTTCAAACCAAGGGGGCGGGGCCATCACTCAGTGGCACATTTCTTCTACATACAGAGCAGAGCGGTGGTATTTTACCCGTTTGGCCCGGTTCGCCCGAGCCGGTAGCGCCGATCAAGCAGCGGAGACTGAATCTGTTCTCTCCTCCGCTCTGCTGTTGGGCCCACCCGCCTGCCCGGGCTCTCCTACTCACCTTTAACCGCTGGTTTTGAAGCGCAGCAGCTTTGCGTGGCACAGAATAGTGCTGTGTGGCAGCTGCCGAAACAACCGGGGAGAGTGCAGGCTTGCAGGAAGTGAATTGGAATGCCTCGGCACATGCGCGAAGTGCGTGTTTGGTGCACACGTGCACGCGAAGTGTGTGCGTGCACACATAAAACGCGCCCACCAAGGCACTCCTACTGAACCGGGGGTAGAGAGTTTTGAAACACACCACTGATACAGAACGATCTGGATGAAATCGGTGGCTCTCACTTTCGTCTCCTCTTGCAACAAATGACGATGGCCAAACGTGGCATTTCTGTGACATGTTCCTGCTCTGATTTGATTTTTTTTTTTTTTTT